AGTAAGACAGTTCCAATAATTTTTCCCCTTTTATTGAATTTATTGGGGTGACACATAATTTATTGACAAAATTATATAGGTTTCAGGTGCACAGTTCTACAACACCAGCTGTGCCTTTAGTCCATTGCCACACTGAGCTGACAGTTGCTGTTTATATGCCTGTTCTAGCTAAACTCTTTTCTAGAAAGGCATTATTTGGGCCCAAGTCTTATTCCCTTGAAAGGTTGGGAGAGGTTTCCCCAGGGAAGGTCACCGGTGTCTTGACCTGCTTCGTTCAGCGGGAATAACAGCTCAGCATTGGCTCCCCTTTCCCGAGACGCAGGTTTCAGAAGGGCCACCGGGCCAGACCCAGTCTGTAGAGTGGGCTCTGTGGTCCTCTCACATTTGGAGAAGTATTCAAGTGAGTTCCAATATTTAAAAACCAGAGTATTTCACATAGAAATCTGGAAGTCTGACTTTTCCTAGAATGCCAGCGGTCACTGTGTCCACTGCTGGTTGGACCTGAGTGGCAGCCGCCCTGTGGGAGAAGTGTTGGGTCCCCAGCCCATTGTTCCTGCAGCCTGTGATCAGCCTGGCTCCGAGGGCGCTGAGTATGAGGCCCCTACACCAGGCAGATGCAAAGACAGAGTCCCAAACATCACAGGTGACCCCCCGGAAAGCTCAGGGCAGCCTGAGTGGTTCCCCCCAGTAGGTTTGGACTCATTTAAGGCCTAAGTGTCGAATCACTCAACTAGACAGAGCTGCTGGCAGGGTCTGGGATGGCTGGGACCATGAGGCTGTACAGGGAACACCTTTCCAAGTCTTGGGCAGAGTCTGCTGGGCAGGGGCGCTGGGCGGCCCACTGACTCACTGCTGGGCAGAAGCTGTGGCGTTAGTGCCAGCCCTGCATTGGGCTGAAGCAAGTGGCCAGATGGGGGGCACTGACTGGGAAGCAACAATCAGCACAGGTGGACTCGCATTTGTCTGTTGGCCAAATGGAAGAGCAAGTGTGTGTGGAGTGTATGTGTGTGTGTGCGCGTGCGCGCGTGTGTGGTGTGNCGGTGTAAAAATAGATATAATGCACTAATTAAACCAGTTGTCCGTATATTTCTGACAGTTTCTTCTATAGTTGCTTGTAGGCGTCAGAGCTGAATGGACACCTTAGCCCCACAACAGCGAAAGCTGGTTTCACTAATAATTCACTAGTAAGACAGTTCCAATAATTTTTCCCCTTTTATTGAATTTATTGGGGTGACACATAATTTATTGACAAAATTATATAGGTTTCAGGTGCACAGTTCTACAACACCAGCTGTGCCTTTAGTCCATTGCCACACTGAGCTGACAGTTGCTGTTTATATGCCTGTTCTAGCTAAACTCTTTTCTAGAAAGGCATTATTTGGGCCCAAGTCTTATTCCCTTGAAAGGTTGGGAGAGGTTTCCCCAGGGAAGGTCACCGGTGTCTTGACCTGCTTCGTTCAGCGGGAATAACAGCTCAGCATTGGCTCCCCTTTCCCGAGACGCAGGTTTCAGAAGGGCCACCGGGCCAGACCCAGTCTGTAGAGTGGGCTCTGTGGTCCTCTCACATTTGGAGAAGTATTCAAGTGAGTTCCAATATTTAAAAACCAGAGTATTTCACATAGAAATCTGGAAGTCTGACTTTTCCTAGAATGCCAGCGGTCACTGTGTCCACTGCTGGTTGGACCTGAGTGGCAGCCGCCCTGTGGGAGAAGTGTTGGGTCCCCAGCCCATTGTTCCTGCAGCCTGTGATCAGCCTGGCTCCGAGGGCGCTGAGTATGAGGCCCCTACACCAGGCAGATGCAAAGACAGAGTCCCAAACATCACAGGTGACCCCCCGGAAAGCTCAGGGCAGCCTGAGTGGTTCCCCCCAGTAGGTTTGGACTCATTTAAGGCCTAAGTGTCGAATCACTCAACTAGACAGAGCTGCTGGCAGGGTCTGGGATGGCTGGGACCATGAGGCTGTACAGGGAACACCTTTCCAAGTCTTGGGCAGAGTCTGCTGGGCAGGGGCGCTGGGCGGCCCACTGACTCACTGCTGGGCAGAAGCTGTGGCGTTAGTGCCAGCCCTGCATTGGGCTGAAGCAAGTGGCCAGATGGGGGGCACTGACTGGGAAGCAACAATCAGCACAGGTGGACTCGCATTTGTCTGTTGGCCAAATGGAAGAGCAAGTGTGTGTGGAGTGTATGTGTGTGTGTGCGCGTGCGCGCGTGTGTGGTGTGTGGTATGTGTGTGATGCGTGGTTCATGTGCATGTGTGCGTGCATGTCACTTGCATTTATAACCATGACATGTCTCCTCTGAAGGCCATGAGGGTACAGCCTCTTCTCTGGTTCTTCATTCAGTTCCCCACCTGACTTGGGAGAATGGAGGTGCTCATTCACCCATCAGTTCATGTGTGTGAATGACTCTGCACTTTCCTGGGTGTGCAGATGGGACATGTGTGTGCATAGGCATCTCAGGGTGTGCGGGTGTGTACGTGTGTGTGCACAGGTGTCTCTGGTTTCCAGAGCTGACATGAGACATCAGAGAACATTACAGGTTGAGGAGGCACAGGTCCCAACATGGGAATCTTGTGCCCAGGGGAGCACAAAAGAGCTCCGGGTCCCTGGTCCCCAGCCCAGACTCTCAGTACCTCCTGGGTGCAGAGGTCCAGGGTCCTTCTCTGCTCGGCCCATGGTCTCTCCCTAAGGCCACTTCCCAGGGAGCTCTGCACCTTGTTTCTGTGCCCAGGTGCACAGAAGGCCATGCGGGAGCTTTGGGCCAGTATGCAGAATTTCTGGAGGGTGGAGGTAGGATTAGGTGTCAGCAGTTTGTAAAACTCTTCAAGCAATTCCCCTTTGGTTTTTCAGTGCACTCTTCCCACTGTCTGCATCAGAATTGCTACGGATGCTGGGAAATGCCCACTCCGGCCCCCACTCAACCTAGGGCGTCAGACCCACAGCCCCATGTGCATTTCAAATTCCCATCCCCTGGAAATGAGCCCACACACCCGTGCAGCACACCCAGGCCTCAGGCACAGCCCACGGTCCCCCTCGGCAGCTCCCACCACGAAGGCCCAGGCACTGTCTGCAAACCCTGATCCAATACATGACTAAAGTGCACATAAAGGTCCACAGTTGTGTCCCTGAAATGCAGCCTGCGTCTCACCCAGTACCTGCGGCTTCACCCCAACCCCCAGCTGCCCACTGACCCATGGCCAGGTCGATTCCCCACCACCTCACCCACAACACCCTCCGCTTCAGGGGCTGCCTCTGCTCCAGCAGGGTGCCGACTTCAGGCCAGCCAGTGGTGTTGTGCACAGCTCCGTTCCATGGAGGGTGTTGTGGTCTCCGATGAGATGTCCAAACAGCAGTGGCGATGTGAATCTGGGCCTCACAGGACTAAAGCCATATGTACCTCATGTCAGAGGGGCAGCGTCTTCCTCTAGATTCATAGCAGGGGTCCAGCTGGAGACACCATGACCTCTCCACTTAGACACCCTCCTGGACCCAAGGCCAGCTGGAGCTGCTCAGGGAGCCCCGCAGCTGCTGAGTGGGGGCACATGGCACCACACGGATGAGGCTGGCACTCAGTCTGGGGGTGAGGTGGAGTCCCCTGCCTAGAACTGGGCCGATGGCCCTCCTGGCTACCAAGTCCTCCCCTCTTCAACTGTGTCACCCCCAAATGTCCACACTTGGAGAACAGGAGTCACAGCACCAGCTGAGCCCAGGCTCAGGAAGATGTCTTTAGAACTCACCATTCCCTGGTGACCTAGTCTGGTTTACCCTGGACAAGCACAGGGTGGGGACACTGAGCTTCCTCAGAGAAATCACTGTGGGAATGGACAGGTGCCATTGTGAGCAGCTAACAAGACTGTTACAGTTGCCTTCGCCCTGAGAGGTTTTCCATCCCAAGGTCTAGGGAAGACTCTGGATTGCTAATGAATTCTTGGGATGTATTTAAGTTCAGGTGTGTGGCCTCCTGTCCCCTCCATCTCACAACTTGGCAGGCCCAAGTAGTATGTACCTGTGTCTCTTCCGTGGAGGAAAGCGCAATAGAAGTTGGGTGTTGAATTTAAATAAATTTTAATTCATGAAAATGGCCTTATATGTTTTAAAACTCTCCTTAAAGCTATTTTTATTCTCTAGAAAGAGCTTATTGCAGGTAAATTACACATTTTACTACCGGAGCAATAGGTTTGCCATTAGTACAAATTTAAGGCACTACAAAGACCAGTAGATAATGTTAATTTCAAATACAGAAACTAAATATGTTTTGTACCTTTTTATTACTCGTTTTCTTTTAAGTTTTATTGACTGCTTTTTATCTTAACTATATGTCTTTACGTGCTGCAATCGTAATGCACCGTAATGGTATTAATATTTTATAGAATCGGTATTTATAGTTCTTTATTTAGAAACAATGCCGTGGGTCTGCAGCTCTCTGAGCCCGTCTGGAAGGGTGCCCTCCAAATAATGATGAATTGCCCGTGCTGTGTGCCATTTGCTAATTATATCCATGATTTACTGCAGAGCAAGACTTAAATCACTCATTTCAGTCTTGCGTAACAGGGCCATAAAATTTTTAGGTTTAAAAATGGTTTCCATGTGTATAATTTAAACAAATTTCAGAGCTATTGTATACACAAAATATTGCAACCAGCCATTGGTTACATACATCGTCTAACTTCTACTTTTAATGATCACTGTGGTTGAAATTATTATGCTTAATTTTCATAATCATAGCTTTTAAATCTATAGCCGTTTTCACATGTTAGATAAAGAAAGAGATAGCTAATTGTGTGCAGATAGTATGTCATCCTGAACAGTCCCAAACGGTACAAAATCATTAAAAAGGCTGAAGAGTACGAATTACCCTCCTATTAAAGAGCAGTCGTTCGCTGACTAATTATTAGTTGGAGCTGCTTTGTTTCCAAGAACAAATGTTGATCCTTCTAGCCTTGTTCAGCACACCAAAGTGAGATAAACACTTTTTTTCTCTCCTATGCCAAAACCTTGCAGGTGAGAAACCTTACAAGTGTCCCCACTGTGACTATGCCGGCACCCAGTCTGCCTCCTTAAAGTACCACTTAGAGCGGCATCACCGGGAGCGACAGAACGGGACAGGGGCCCTGTCTGGACAGCCCCTGAGCCAAGACCACAGGGACGAGCTGCCGGGCAAAGCCGCCCTGTTTGTCAGGCCCGACATCCTGAGGGGCGCCTTCAAGGGCCTCCCCGGCATGGACTTCAGAGGCGGGCCCGCCTCCCAGCAGTGGACGTCGGGAGTGCTCTCGTCCGGGGACCACCCCGGCCAGGCCACCCGCATGTCTTCGGAGGCCCCTTCGGATGCTCTGAAAGGCACTGACCTTCCCTCCAAAAGCACCCACTTCTCCGAAATTGGAAGAGCCTATCAAAGCGTCGTGAGCAACGGCGTGAGTTTCCAAGGGTCCTTGCAGGCCTTCATGGACAGCTTTGTCTTAAGCTCCCTGAGGAAGGAGAAGGACCTGAAGGACAAAGCCCTGTGTGACCCTCCCTCCGCGAAAGTCCACGGGGTGGATGGCGGCGAGGACAAGGGTGGTGGGAAGGCGGCCCCGAGGAAGTCGGAGAAGTCTCAGTACGAGCCTCTGGACCTGTCTGTGCGGCCCGATGCCACCTCCCTTCCCGGCTCCCAGGTAACGGTGCAGGACAGCATCGCGTGGCACGGCTGCTTGTTCTGCGCTTTCACGACGTCGTCCATGGAGCTCATGGCCCTTCACCTCCAGGCCAACCACCTGGGCAAAGCGAAACGCAGAGATCATGCCGTGGGGCTGGCCGTCCATTGCAAAGAGCAAGTCCGGGAGGCCAGCAAAGTGGCCCTGCTGCCCCTGGTACAATCAAGCAAGGAGGTGGCACTGGCCAACCTGATCGGGCCTCCAGACTCTGCTTCGGAGAAGATTGCCCAAGGGCAGGCCAAGGAGACTCTGGGGGAGCAGAAGAGTGGCCCGTGGCCCAGCCACGTGGACCCTGCATTCCGTAACTTCCCGTCAGACTTCTACAAGCAGTTTGGCGTCTACCCGGGCGTGGTGGGCTCAGGAGCCCCCAGTTCCTGCCCCAACAAGGGGCCGGATGGCAAGGCCCACTCAGAAGATGACGCCCCGATCGTGATCCCCGACACCGCTGACAAGAACACTACTGAGGACCTGTCCGACATCGCCTCCTCGGAGGACATGGACTCCACCCAGGGGGACAACGAGGACGAGATTGAAACGGAGCCCGAGATGACAAGGAAGCCGCAGTCGGCCCTCAGCAAGGACGGCGGCGAGGGTGGGGACAGCCTGCTGCCCGCAGGTGCCCTGCAGCCGGGCCAGGGGCTGGCGTCACCCCTGCCCCAGGCGTCAGAGAAGCCGTGGCACAGCCCGGGCCTGCTTCCAGCTCAGGACCCCGGGGCGGGCCTGCCCCGGCCTGAGCGGGGGCCCCCAGGCCCCGAGAAGCAGCTGAACATGCTGTCGGTCCTCAGGGCCTACAGCGCCGACGGCTTAGCGGCCTTTAACGGACTTGCCGGCGGCACGGCCGGCTCGGGATGCGTCAAGAGGCCGGACTTGTGTGGTAAGTTGTAGAACCCTCTTCCTGAGTTCATGTCCCAAAGCATCAGTGCTGAGTTGTGCATTTTCTCAAAAAACGAGATAGACATTTTCATTAGCAGGTTTTGAATAAACATGAAAGAGGCCCCAACAGTGCTGTAGATGCAACACGGACAGTCCTGAGCGAGTGTCAGGACTCGCACGCTGGGCCCCCCTTTGCGTGGCAGTGATCCCGAAGGCCTGTCCCGGGCCTGGAAGGGGTGGGGTCTCCCGGTGCGAACTACTCCTGCTTTTAATCCATATTTTGAAGGGGGAAAGATACTTAAAAAACAAAAGTAAAAAGAGACGTGGTACCCTGCAAGCTTTGCAGTATTTTTAACTGATGGGTGAGATGCCTAAAGCCAGCGCTCGCTGCCTTGCTCAGCCGGAGCTGCCTCCGCAGACGGGAGGGTTCTAGGTGCCGCACTGCTAACCCTCTCCAGATGGGGGGCCGTGTGCCCGTCTGACTCATCTTTAGACACCACATGGCAGTGACTGTGACTGTTGCCTTCTGTCCTGCTGCCTCTGTCCGTCCGTCTCTTCCCCTGTCTGTCTGTTGTCCTGATGAGAAATGCGCACTGTACAGTCCTGAGTTGCCGGCGTTGGGGTCCTGTGTGTCTCGGACCCACACCCGCTGCTCTGCTTGGCCAGCCGGCACCTCTTTACCTCCTCCAAGAATACGGTCACCCCCAAGCAGTTCCAGATCTTAAAAAGCGACAGTACGTTCAAGGCCTAGAATTGGAGCAGAGGAGTGTGAGGTGGGCAGGGAGGGGCGCGTTCTCCTCTTGGCCTTCAGATGGTCCCCTGGGAAGCCCCTCTGCACAGAAGCTCAGCCCCAGAAGTCCTCGCCAGAGGTAAATGACAGTGGTACCTTCCATCTTTACTCTGTGACTGGAATTCTGCGACTTATGCCACTTGTTGAAAAAGGAAGGGAGGGAGGAAGGGGAGGGAGAGAGGGAGAGAAGGAAGGAGGGAGGAAAGAAGGGAGGGAGGGGGTATTTTTTAACCCCTGATGATCTGATGATCCTTGTACACACAGTGGGATTCAGGAAGCTGGACTCGGTTCATAATTTAATTTGATATTTTCCCCCTCTCCTTTCCTAATTCACTAGGAACTGGATCAAACAGTCAGAAATATTTTTTGAATTCTCAAAAATCATGAAATTGATTGCTGACAGCTCCAAAAAATATTGACAGTCCCTTATGCTGAGTGGTCACAGGCCCCCTCCCCAGCACCCAGTTCTATTTTTAGCCACATACAATTCATTACTTTTGAAGCTGTTAAAAACAATATTTAAAAGGAACAGAAAAGGGTTTCATGCCAGTCCAATTTTCCCCCTCTTCTTCTGGGGGAGCGATGTTCAATCTTTTTTTTTTTATTGTTGTTTTAAGTTTGTGATTGGGGTGGTTTCTTTTATTGTTGTTTGGGGATTTTTAAAAAAAAACCTATTTTCAGCTCTTTCAAATACCTAAGTAGGACCTAGTTCCTGCCAGGAATCCATGCATCAGAAAAGATCAAAACCTGGCGTGTTCATAAGCTCTTTATTATTGAAATGAGCTCATATTACCCCTATTAATTTTCCCATGGTCCTATCACGGAAGGAAGCTGCCGCCTCGCCTCGGAGGAAGCTTGCCCAGTGGTGTCCTTTGGCAGAGGCGAGGGTGGGGGGGCCCACGGGAAGCTGCTCTGTCTTGTGAGCCCTTCCTCTCTGAGCCCAGCTCCCAGGCACTGCTCACCCTCCCCAGACAGCAGCTCACAACACCCCTGAGTTTCTGGGGATGTGCAGAACGTTGGCTTGTCAACCTCGGGCAGCAGAGCTGGGTTAGTTGTGGCTCCTCTCCAAGAGGGGGACGAAGACCTCAGGCCATCCTGGTGGCTTCCACAGACGAGGCTGCAGGTGCCCTGCTCCACCTGCACTCAGGTGAGAAGCCAAAACAAGCCGGTCTGGCTTCAGAGAGCCAGGTTCTGCACTCGTCGGGCCTGTTCCTCTCCCGCTCGCTTTAGCTGGGAAGCGGCAGCAGACCCTGCTCTGGCCCACCTGTCCCGGGCAGGGGGGTGGGGACGTGGCCCTCTTGCTCCAGATGGGCTTGACCCTGTGCTCACCCCCGCCCCCCATATCTGGCCCTGTTTCTTTCCTGGCTGCCTCGGTGCCCCACTTTCCCGGAGGTCCAGGCCTGCGCATCCCTCCTCCGAGCCAATGTCTGGCAGGAAAGCTGAGACCCAGTGGGCTCCCAGTGGGCACAGGGCATCTTCCCCTCAGTCGAGTGCACTGTTTCTCCCATGGCAAGAAGCACATGCAGTAGTTGAACAGTTTAACCCCCACTGGTGTGACTTTGTAAGAGGAGACATGATGCTGGCACAGAAATCAAATATCCCTCACACTTACTCCCCTCCTGATCCACTCAGAGTAGATGGGGTTCCGGACGGCCCACAGCCTGAGGTCTGGTTGGGTCAGGAAGCCAGAGTGAGTCAAGCCCAAGAGTGAGCCCAGTGTTTCTCATCCCTGGAGAGTTTGGGGTCTGATTTTGTCTGGATGGTGAACCTAAACCTCCATTCGATGCCCCTGAAAACAGTCTTGCAGGAGGGGTGTGTACCCGTCTGTTTCGGTCCTCATAAGGGTGAATGTAATCAAACCTGAGGGCAAACCTCATTCAGATCTTGAGGACACCCCACGGAGCTCAGCAGCTCCTCGGACACGTGCTGGTGATTTGGCCTCTGACCCTCGGTCTGTGGTGGTCCTCGTGGTGGCTCACTTCCTGGTGCTCCCCGAGGTCTGCGTGCCTGCCTCCTAACCTTCAGTCTTGGCTCCTGCCTTCCTCGGGGTCAGGGACCTGGGATCCTGGCCAGTGTGCGCTGCCCACTCCTAGAGGTCAGTTGTAACGCGGGTACAGGAGAGAGACCAGGAGGAGAGAGGCCAAGCAGCCTCTTGGGTGGGGGAGGCCTGCAGTGTGTGTCCATGTTGAGAGTGTGCATGGATTTTCATAGATCCTTCCCCAGGGGACAGAGCCGCCGAACATGTGACAGTTAACCCTATGCCACCTTGGTTCTAGAGTGAGTCGGGACTCACTGGTCTTGTTATGTTAAATCCAGCCCCAGTCCCAGCTCTTTCTCCTGGCAGTGACTTCAGACTCCAGGCACAGCCATGTCTCTTCATTCAGTTGGAGAACATGATGAACAGGGGCCCTTGTGCTGTGGGAAGGTATGGATGAGCTGTGGTCTTGTTGGAATAGGTTCGACCTTGGCTTTGTAATGGGACAGGATCCACATGATAGTTAATTAGGGGACAGGAAGATCAGAGCAGCACTGACATCCACATACAAGACAAGGCAGAAGCCCCCTTGTCCAGTCTGAAAGATCTGATGAACTGTTGGGTCAGCTGGTGGCTTGGTGGCCGGAGTACTCAGGGTCACAGGCTTCCATGTGCGCCACAGCGCAGGCCGGTGTGCTTGGCTCCCGGGCAGGCTGCCTGCGGGGCCGCAGAGCTTGTGGCTATGGAAAGCAAGCCGGCCCTTCTGCTCCGGGCTCCTTGCCTTTTGAACTCGGGGTGGACGGCTGGGGGCCAGTGTGGGTCAAGTCTTGCGTGCAGGGTTTGCTCTGTGTCCTCTGGTGAGCTGGGGTCAGGGCCGATGGGGAGGAATTAAACTTGGGTGAGGGAAAGAGCAGTGACCTGGCCCCTTACTCTTCGAAGCTCTGCTTGGGAGCCATCCCCATCGGAGAACCCACCCGCATGTCCATTACGGGCGTGGGGCTCTTGTGCTCTGGACGGAGGGACTGCCGGGGCCTGTGAGGAAGCGAAGAGGTGGCGGGGGCATTAATAGCAATAGCCCCGACACTCACAACTCAGGTTATTGGGAGACCGGCTTGTCGGACCTAAAGTATGCTGCGACTGAGGGTTCTCTCACAGCAGTGCGACAACTGGGACCCCTTTCTAAAAAAATTACAGGGTCCGTCGGCCCTCTTGCCTCATGGATTCTAAAACGAGTAGTGAAATGGACGCAGAGAGCCCAGTGGCACTCTGGCAACGCTCCTTCTGTCTTCCAGCACCTCGCTGTCTCTCAGCTCAGTCTGCCACCCAGAGAGCCACTCCCTTTGGCTCACAGCCCCTGTGGCCTCCCCACCGCGCTCGGCTCCGCAGGGTCCCGCCCAGGCGGCCATCCACAGCGAGCGGACAGAGGCTGGGTTCCACTCAGCTGTATGACCAAGACAGGCCATGGGATAGGGCTCCTGCTCTGGTGTCAGGGGAGTTACGTTGCTGTGGCTGTCCCTTGTCCCATAAGAAGACATGCAGAAACCTGTCCACTGTCCCTCCACTGGCCAGGGCAACAAGGCAGGGAGCAACCTGGTCAGCAGCCCCAGGGCTCCCTCTGGGTACCTGTCTCTGCCTCCAGGAGGGGTGCCTGCCCTCATGTGTGGTGGTTCCAGAGCCCGTGTCATGGTGAGGTGGGCGGAGGAAGAGGACGCAGGTTGGACTTGGCTCTGGCTGCACTTGGGCTGTGAAAGCTCAGTGGCCTCCCTGATGGGCGAGTGTGAGGTGAACAGAGATGGAGACGGAGGTGGAGGGTGTAAAAGGTTGGACCAGCGTCTCTCAGTGGAGTTGGTATTGAGAGTGGAGGTGACATCCACATGGGGACGTTGCAAGGAAGTGATGCCGGTGTCCAAGTGTCTTTTGCTAGCAGTTGTCCCCTTAGCACTAGGAAGCACAGCCCTTATTTTCCACTGTGGGTCTGGAGACGTGTTTTATGCCCTCTGGCTGCCAGCTCAGTGGTAGCTGCTCCTTGGGAGGTGGGGGAGTCAGCTTGGAGGGTGATTCTGTGCTGAGAGCCCATCGTGAGGTCACACCACTTTGTTTCTATCCTGTCCTACTCCTGACGGGGGGCCAGTGCTTTTGGTAGGAGGTGATGCCCCTGCTCAGTGTCTGACCAGGAGTGGCTGAGGTCCATGGTCAGTAGTGATTGCCAAGGGCGTGCGTGGTGGCCGGGGTGTGC